TGATTTTTTTTTATATTTAAGTTTTTATCTGGGATTTATTTCTACATTTCCTTCTAAATGAATGGTTAGCTTTGCCAGCATCATCTTTTTCAGAGACCACACTTTTTCCACTGATTAAACCATAAACTTTGTAAAGTTACTATATGACAAAGGTTATGGTTTAGTCATTCATCATAATTAAATTAACATGGGAATATCATTTTACATTTTAAAACTTCAGAACTTGTCCATATTCTTTAGCCTCTCAGGGTCTCTGTTCTCTTTTTCATAGTGTAAATTATTTGGAGTAGGTCTGAGTTGGTTGATTTAGAAGACAAGCAATAAGTTTTGATTTTTCATTCATTCAATTAATAAAATATTTTATTGACTGTCTTATAATTGTCCATCAGTTGGATATGTGATGTGACAGAAAAGGGAAAATTGTTTGACCTAAGCACTTCGAAATGATGAAAAGAGTATGTACTTTTCTAGTTTTATAAAAACTTGGTGGCTTAAAACAACATTCTTTGTTATTTCTTATGATTCTTAGTTAACTGGAGAAAGCTGTACTGTTATTGCCAGGGGCAAAACCAGAGCTAGGGTCAGGTGAGTGAAGTGTTTAAAGTACAGAATTTAAGAAGGCACCTACTCTTGAGGTTCCTGCACTATCATTATGAGAATATTTCCTTAACTTTTACACTTACGTGCCTCACTCACCTCACCCTGTTTGACCCTGACTCTGAGTTGGGCTTTCTCTCAGATACCAGTTGGAGCTGTAGTCATCTGATGGTTTCATTGGGTTGGACATCCAAGATGATTGCTTCACTCACATATCTGGTGCCTTGTTTAATCACAAGGCTGTAAAAGTTGGGAGCTAACCTGGCATAACTCTCTCTCTCTCTCTCTCTCTCTCTCTCTCTCTCTCTCTCTCTCTGTGTGTGTGTGTGTGTGTGTGTGTGTGTGTGTGTGTGTGACCTCTCCATGGCATCCTCAAAACCTGGCAGTCTCAATGTTGTCAGATTTCTTACACGGTGACTGGCTTCTCCAGAGCAAAAACACCACGAGGCCCAGGTTGAAGCTATGAGGCTTCTTGTGATTTAGCCTGGAAGCCGCAGGGTGTCAGTTACTATCATTATATTCTATTAGAGGCCCGGCACACTTAGTATAGTAGGCTTTTATTCTATAGGATAGGTCAAAGTCACTAAGACCTGTCCAACATTTAAGGGAAAGGGAGTTAGACTCTGCCTCTTGATCTGAGTGGTATGGATACAAATTAAGGGAGGAAAAGGTTGGAGACTACCTCCCACAAAAACACCGGGGATCAAACAGGTTTTGGGAGTAGGAAATCAGAAGTGCTCTTGGGGTGTTACATTTGCAAAGCTCATTAAACAAACAACTAAACATGGATATCAGAACACAGAAGCAACAGACTGCTCTTCATCATTGATTGGCTGCCTCCTGCATGCCCCCTACTGGGGCTCGAGCCCGCAACCCAGGCGTGTGCCCTTGACCAGAATTGAAGCCAGGACCCTTCAGTCCGCAGGCCCATGCTCTATCCACTGAGCCAAACCGGATAGGACTTGTGGTGTCAATCTTGCACACCCTCATTGAAGCCTGACCTTTGCATTCTCACATCCCTTCTTCTAGAAAGCTCTCCCCGTGGCTCCTCTACCTGCTGCCCCAGCTCCCACAATTGTGGGAGATCTTTCCTTAGAAATTATCCATCTGTCTTACTCGAGGGCCACCCATGTTAACACAACTGGCGAGATTTCCTTCTTTTTATGGATGAATAATACTCCATTGTCTGTCTGTCTATCTATCTATCTATCTATCTATCTATCACATTTTATTTATTCTTTGTCCATAAATGAACCGTTATGTTGATTCCATATTTTGCCTATTGTGAATAATGCTACAATGAACACGAGAGTGCAGATATTTCTTCAAGATAGTGATTTCTCTCTTTTTGATACTTATCCAGAAGTGGAATTGCTAGATCCAATGGTAGTTCCTTGTTAATTGTTGAGGAACCACCAAACTGTTTTCCAGTAACTTCCAATTTACATTCCCACCATCAGTGCACATAGTTCCCTTTTCTCCACATTCTCGCCAGTATTTCTTTCTTTCCTTCTTTTTTAATGTTAGTCATTCTAACAGCCCTAAGGTGATAACTTCATTGTGGTTTTGATTGTCATTTCCCTGATGATTCATGATGTTGAGAACCTTTTCCTGTTATTTGTTGGCCAATGTATTCCTTCTTTGGAAAAATGTCTATTCAAATCCTCTATTTCTCAATCAGTTTGTTTGTTTGTTTGTTTGTTTGATTTGCTCTTGAGTTGTATGAATTTCTTATATATTGTGGATATTAATCCCTTATCAGATAGGTGGTTTACAAGTATTTTCTCCCATTCTGTAGTTTGCCATGGGTTTTAGTTAGAGCAAGAATGTGAAGATCCAGCTCAGACAGCAGGGTGAAGACATGCGACATCTTTCTGAGAACTCCAGGGGAAGTGGATGTGGGGGAAGGGTGCTCACGGTGGGAATTAAGTCAGTTTAAGAGATTTACAGAGTAATATGGGGATTAGTGTCTGGGTGTCTTGGTGACTATGGATGCAAACCTGGATGTGAAGCACGATGGGACTCATGGCTTCTGGGACTCACCGAGAAAGGGGCTCATTCATTCTCCCATCTCTTCACAGCCTCCTTCTCAGGCCAATATCCGGTACCTCATAGATAGCCCTGCAGGTCTGAAATGTAGTGGGACTGGGGTACTTAGGTGTCCCTGAAGCACACAAATCTCTCTGGAGTCCCTTAAGTCCCACTGAGAGCTGTGTTAAGGACAGAATGGGGCAAATTTTATAAACAACAACAAGAAAAACAAACAAGCACATGGTGCTCTAGAGCCGTGGTTCCCATGTGGCTCTCTAGAGCCGCAGCATCCACTTCAAACTTATTAGAAAAGCAGATTCTCGGACCCCACCAGTCTTGCTGCACAAGGAACTCCAGGTGGGTTTTAACTAGGCCACCAGGCACCTCTCATGTTCACTAAGGTGTGAGACCCACATTAGCTTAAAGAAACAGCTGAATTTTTTTTTAAAATGTATTTTTATTGATTTCAGAGAGGAAGGGCGAGATAGAAACACCAGTGATGAGAAGGAATCATTGACTGGCTGCCTCCTGCACGCCCCCTACTGGGGACCGAGCCCACAACCCAGGCATGTGCCTTTGTTGGAAACCAAACCCAGAACCCTTGAGTCCACAGGCCAACGCTTTAGACACTGAACCAAACCAGCTAGCGTGATACAGCTGAGATTTGACCTTCTTCTTGTGAGCCTAACATCACAGAGCACTGAGACTGAAAACACTTTCCAAGTGTCTAGTCTCGCCTTGAAACTTACCTCTGAAGTGCCCAAGTTACAGAAGGGTGGGACTTGTCCAAGCCATCCTCCCCAGACTGAAATTACAACTCCGAACAACACAGCACTCCAGAGCCCGGAAAAGTGGTTGTTTACACACAGAACTGTAGTCTTTTTCTTTCTTTCTTTTTAAAATAGAGATTGATATTGTGTTTTTCCTTTGACTCAAGTCAGCTCTAAAAACGATCTGCTTTATCTCTGGTTCTTTTGAGATCTGCAGAGGTGCAACCTCCTAAGGCAGACCTGGCGCTCGGGCTGCGGAACGCAGCAGCCTCTGCGGGCACAGGAGAAGGAAAGGATAAGGCACAGGACAACTCTGGCAGCCTCTTCGGGCACAGGAGAAGGCATGGATAACTGGCAGCCAGATAGGTCTGCGGCGGCCCAGTTCTCGCTTTTGCCATTTCAGATTCGCTCTCCCCGGGAGAGGCGGGCAGCCGGACTCGGTGCGCGCTGGAGACCAGCTCCCTCTGCTTCTGCAGAGGAGATTTAGCCTGAATTTCTGTGACAGATGGAGTTGATAGTCTTTCCACGGAGAGGGGAGGAAAAAAGCGCCAGTTTTTGACAGGCCGCAGACGCCCGCTGCCTCTGGTGGCCGAAGGCTGCGTTACGCCGCCGTTAAGGTGGTTCGCCAAGCCCCGCGCCGCCGGGCAGCCTCCCTTAAAGCAGAAGGAGGGGTTGGAATATACACTGGATTATAAACCCTTAGGGAATTTACCAGCTTACCCCCTTCCTTTATGCGGCGGCTGCAGCCCAGAAGGTACTGCTGAGCATCCCTGAAGATGCGCAATGCCATTATTCTTCTCATCACATCGTGTTAGTAACGTACAGTTCTAAAATATTAACCAGGTGCATTGGATTTGTCTTGCAATGAACAAGGATGCCTGGCTTCAGGGCCATACCTGCCCGATCGGCAAACCTGGACCACGTGCTGGGAAGAGGGGAAAAGGGGCTGTAAATATCTCATCAGCACCCCCCTAACTAAAGCGTGCGCCTCTTTCTTGTGTGTGTATGTTTAATGTCTAAGTCTCAAAGTCCCACAATAAGTACTGATGTCCCTCCTGGGATGATCAGGACCCAAAGAGCCGAATTCTGAAGCCGGTCCAAGGCACAGATGGGGTTCAGGAAGAATGAATGCAATCACCCTCCTTACCCCCAAATAAAGTTTAAAAGAACCAAACCAAAAGGCCTGTGGCCGGCTGCAAACAGCTGCCCCTAAGCCCTGATGGCTGGTTCGGAGCGCAAGCTGAGGCTCCATCTCCGAGCCTCCTTAAGAGGAGGAGGAGCTCCGGGCCTCTGTCAGGCTCCTTAAGCCCTTCCTTTCAAGCCCTGAAAGCCTGAATGTGAGCTGCCCACCGCCCTCCCCGCCCTCCCCCACTCCGCAACCCCACTCTAGCGGCTCCGAGAGGGAAAGAAAAAAAAAAAAAGAAGTTTCAACAACAACAGGCGGGACCAATAGCATCTCGAAAAGCCGGGAAAGGGGGCTGAGCAAAGGGCGAAAGAAGAGCGGAGAAAGGAGAAAGCGGGCAGGCTCGGAGCGCGCGCGGGGCCGGGCCGGGCGAGCCGGAGGAGCGTTGCTAATGTTTTTGTTTGTTTGCTTTTCCATGCATGCATAATGAGGGGGCGCCTCGGCTCCACGCGGGGGCTCCCGGCCCGCTTTTGTATTTAAAGCCTCGCTGCTGCGAGCGAGTCTCCGCTGCCGCCGGGGCTCAGCGCATCCGCTCCCCGGGCTCCTCGTCCCCGGAGAAGCCGCCGCCGCCGCAGAGTTGGAAGCCCGGGAGCCGCTCTCCGCCCGCGCCGACTTTCTTTTTCTCCCGGAAAGGGCTCCCGGGAGCTCGGCCGAGGCCGGGGGTCGCCTCGGGTGGAGGGGGAGGGGACGCGGGCGGCCGGGGCGCCGTGCACGGACTCGGCGCGATGCGAGAGCCCGCGGCGGCGGCGGCGCGGAGCTGAGCCCGGAGGAAGGAGCTGAGCCCGGAGGACGGAGCTGAGCCCGGAGGACGGAGCTGAGCCCGGAGGAAGGAGCTGAGCCCAGAGAAAGGAGAGAAGCGGACGCACCACGGGTCTGCAGGCACGGAGCGAAATGCACCCGCGGCGCTCCGCGGTCCTGCAGCCCCGCCGCGGCCCCGCGGCCCACAGCCCACCGGGGCGGCAGTGAGCGCCTCCCGCCACCGCCGGGGACCGACCAGAGGGAGCTATTCGCGGCCGTGCTTTTCTAGGAACGGAGACCGACCTGCGAGCAGCAGAGCAGCAGCCCGGCGGCGCGCATGGATTTATGAAAACACTCATGCCAGAAGTTGGCAGGACTGGGACAAACTTTTTCCCCGGCTCCGCGTCCGCCGCCGCCGCTCCCCGCGCCTCCTCGTCGTCGTCTCCTTCCCCCTCCTCCTCCTCCTTGCCCGGCGGCCGCCGCTGCTGCCCGCGATGGTGGCCGGACTGCTGGGCGGCGGCGGCGGCGGCGGCCGGACCCGCGGGGGCACCGTGCCGGGCGCCTGGCTGTGCCTGATGGCGCTGCTGCAGCTGCTGGGCTCGGCGCCGCGGGGCTCGGGGCTGGCGCACGGCCGCCGCCTCATCTGCTGGCAGGCGCTGCTGCAGTGCCAGGGCGAGCCGGAGTGCAGCTACGCCTACAGTCAGTACGCCGAGGCGTGCGCGCCGGTGCTGGCGCAGCGCGGCGGGGACGATGCGCCGGGAGCCGCCGGTGCCGCCGCCTTCCCGGCCTCGGCGGCGGCTTCCTTCTCCTCGCGCTGGCGCTGCCCGAGCCACTGCATCTCGGCCCTCATTCAGCTCAACCACACGCGCCGCGGGCCCGCGCTGGAGGACTGTGACTGCGCGCAGGACGAGAACTGCAAGTCCACCAAGCGCGCCATCGAGCCGTGCCTGCCCCGGACCAGCACGGGCACCGGCGGCGGCGGCGCGGGCGGCGCGGGGGGCCCCGGCGCGGGCGGGGTCATGGGCTGCACCGAAGCCCGGCGGCGCTGCGACCGCGACAGCCGCTGCCACCAGGCGCTCGGCCGCTACCTGACCCACTGCGGCAAGCTCTTCAACGGGCTGCGCTGCACCGAGGAGTGCCGCGGCGTCATCGAGGACATGCTGGCCGTGCCCAAGGCGGCGCTGCTCAACGACTGCGTGTGCGACGGCCTGGAGCGGCCCATCTGCGAGTCCATCAAGGAGAACATGGCCCGCCTGTGCTTCGGCGCCGAGCTGGGCACCGGCCCCGGCAGCAGCGGCTCGGACGGCGGCCTGGATTACTACGACGAGGAGTACGACGACGAGCAGCGCCCCGGGGGCGCGGGCGGCGAGCAGCCGCTGGACGACGATGACGGCGGCGGCCTCCCGCACCCCGCGCGCCCGGGGGGCGGCGCTGCTGCGGCGGGCGGCGGCGGCGGGGAGCTGCCCTACGGGCCCGGGCGCAGGAGCGGCAGCGGCGGTGGTCGCCTGGCGCCCCGAGGCGCCTGGACCCTGTTGGCTTCCATCTTGCTGCTGCTGCTGCTCCTCCAGTTGCTGTTTTAGCCCTCGTGCCCGCCCCCGCCATCGGCTGCGGGGAGAGCCCGCGCCAGGCAGGGCACCTGTAGCTTGGGGACAGAAGGGATGGTTGGTTGGGGATCATTGCCAAAACGTTTTTCCTAGCCGGTCTCCCCGCCATAATGGTTGGCACTTGCCCTGTCTCCTCTCCTGAGCATGACTTCTTGGACGTCTTCTCTTTCCCCCCTCCTTCCAGGCTCCAGAAACTCCCAATGCAGCTAGAGTTCTGGACACCTGGCACAGAACGGGGTGGGGGGTAGGGGGCTAATGGAGGGTAGTGGGGTGCAGAACCACAGTCCTGGACTCCAAAGAGGTGCTGACCAATGGGGCCTTACTAGTTTCAAGGGACTGGGCTTGGAGCAGAGGGATTTCTATTTGCAAAGAGGCTGTCTTGTTCATGAGCATTTTTCCTGTGTGGAGGGGTGGGGAGGAAGGGCCGGTATTGACTTTGATTGTGGCCGGTGAGGACATGGCAATCTTCAGTCATCAGAGAAGTCCCACTTACCTGTTTGATTCCTGTACTCTTGGTGCCAGCGCCCTGAATTCTCGGTTTTGGGGCGGGAGGTGGGAAGGGGTTAATCTTCCTGAATTAGTTTTTGGGGGTAATTTGGAGCCCTTGACCTTGATTTCATTTACACCACTCTGCTCTCTCTAGCACATTTCTTATAATTAAGGGTCAACAAGTGCTGATCTAAAGAGCTGCTAGTGATATGGAAACAATGCAAGTTTGTCTGACATGAGCTCTGCACTGCCATCTATGAAAGCCTCTTTATGGTGTCTGTTGTGTTGTCTTTGTTGTTGTTGTTCTTTACATCAAGGAGTTGTATGTACAAATATGCAGAGAATATATATTGCTTCTGCTTTTATCAGGGTGCTAAACCCTGGTACTTTTATATAAAGTGTATTAAAACTGGGGTTTGTTACCAGTTGCTGTACCTTGTATATAGAATTTTTATAAATTGTATGCTTCAGAAATAATTTATTTTTTAAAAAAGAAATTAAAAACTTTAAATCTGCATTCATATCACACCTGTTCTCCCTGAAATGTATAGAAGCCATCAGGGATCCAAACCCACAGTCCATTGTGAAGTGTGCTCTTAATCTAGGACAGTCAGTCTTAAAATGTACAGTGTATTTTAGAGATTTGAAGTTAACATTCTTATTTTCAAGAGAATTTATGGACATTGTAGAAATGTATAAATGCATTTCCAAACTGCCTTAAACATTGTATTTTTATAGAATCGTTTTTTTAAAAAAAAATTCTTATGTTTTAAGTAACTATGTTTTTGTGTATTTCTTCCTCCCCCCCCCCTTTTTTTGGTTATTTGTTTTATTAAAATGTGTAAACAGTAAAGAGTTTTAAATAATGAATATGGTGTAGTTACTTTCCAGAGTTACATTGCGGTTTTAACCCAATAATGGGTGTGGAGGAGCCACTGGGAATCCATCAACCATCAACTGAAATTAAAACGCAGCACAAGACGAGAAATGAGGCCTATTATTTCTGCCTTTAATTTAATGAACAATTAGCCATCTGTAAATGAGGCAGCTAAAAAGATATAATTGACTGGCCTCCGCTGGTTCCTATGTTTGTGGAGGGGAATTCACAAAATCCTATCTCCTGCATAATTTGGGGGTAGCCCTCACCTCCCCTTTTCCTCCCCCATTTCCACTGGTCTCCCCCTAGCCCCCCTTCCAGGAGTGTCCTCCCTAACTACTAGGCATGCCCCTTAACATCAAACATGCCAATAACATCTGTTACCAATAGGTCTTAGGAAACCTGTGAGACTCAGCACTTCAAAGTCATTTTCACACTCTGGGTGAAAACGCACAAAATTTTGTTACAAAACACTCAGGCGAGCGAAAGTAAACACGCTGGGGAGAGGAACAATTACCAGGACTTGCGATATTGTTGTGAGGAGTTGTTTAGCAGTGGGCTGAAGGCTGGGCCGCTGCCAGAGCTACTGATCCACACTCAAACGCCCTTAGATAAATAATTACACTCTTAAGCTGTGTCGAGTGCTGATACACTTGACCTTGTAAATAGAAATGTTTGCAGTAGGAATAAACTCCGGCATTGGAAAATCTTTTAAACATTAACACAAAAGAGAGCGCTCTGTCCTCTGGGGATTTGACTCTGAACCTCGCCAAGCTAGGCACTTGCGAGGGGGAAAAAAAGAGTTTATTTATCTTCTATTCCTGGTGTTTATTTAAAGCTTTTCATTTTAAACGCGGTGATTGGGAGGCAAGTCAGGAGTTTAAAAAGTCACCACAAATAAACTTTGTCTGAGGGGTCCACAGATTAGCAAGATCTCGTGTCTCTTTCTATGATATTAACATGTGCTGAGAAAACATAACCAGATTTCTCCGCTGCCTGAAGTAATTAACAAGGCCCCGCCCCCTCCCGACTTCCTCCCACCCGCTCCCACCCCCTACTCTCAAGATTTCTTTTCCTCTAAGTGGCTCTTTCCCCAGCTTTTATGGAGGGCTTCTGGGTGCTTCTTGTTGGGTCTAAAAAAAAAATCAAGAGATGCATAGATGGGTGGCATCCGAGAGTCTGCGGTAGTTGCAGTGCCAGAGACGCCTCGGAATGGTGTGTGGCTGGAACCCCTGTCACCTGAATGGTTGAGTAAACATATTGTTAAAACAAAGCCCAGAGCTTTGTTTCTTTGGGGAATGAACAAAGGGTATGCCAAAAGGCTTGTAAATGAAATCAGCTTTCTTTACAAAAACGTCACGTTAGCAACACTCCTGCGTTTGTTCCTAACTACATTTAAATCATCTCCGTTTCATGTTATTTTAACACATTCTTGACAAAAAAAAAAAAAAAAAAAAAAAAAAGTTAAGTCTTTGTCCCAGGAAAGGGCCCAGTTTCCCCCAGTAAGAAGTAAAAGGCATTAGCACTAGAAAAAGGCCTGATAATTAACTGCTACAATAAACTCACGACTTGATTTTACAGGGTCCTGTCAAAAGCATCTGCCTGGAATAAATCAACAGGGCCAGCGCTGGGGGAGAGAAGACACGAGGCTTTATGCTTTCTTCCTTGAAGAAAGTGAGCATTGATCGGTGGTCCATTTCCATTTAAACAGTTCTGCCCTGGAGCCCTGGAGCCTCCTCTCCCCCTGCAGGGCCGGTGCGGTCCAGACCAGGTCGCTTAGATGTGGGGACCTTGTGCGTTGGTGGTGCAGGGTGTAGGCTGCCATCTGCTCCCAGGCAGGAAGGGTCTTTACAGATGTTGACATCTGTAACATCTCACGCTCTCCGGGGAGCCTTTTGGAATGTTGGACATTCGAGAAGGAGACTGCCTGGAAGGACCATTACCAAGGGGAAGGATCTCTCTGGCTTTTCCCTGGGGACTCTCTCAGAAAGCGCCCCGCTTCCCACAGAGGCTTTTGGGAGTGGGGGCGACTCCTTTCGAATGTCATGGGAAATCGTGGGTTCCTGGCGGGGGGTCCCCACTTTCCCAGTTGGCAGGTTTGCCTTCTCGGTGGCGGTTTGTTTGTCTTGGGAGACACTCCAGTGACAAATGTTGGAGGGAGTGTGGGATAATGGTGGGGAACAAGGGGGCAGTTCATTGAGCTGACAGTGACCATACAGTACATAGGAGGTGATTGGGGCTTCCCTGTTCACCCAAGCACACAGCAATGCTTTTGTGTATGGCCGCAATGGACATAGCGAAAGGTCTCTGTTTATGTTGAACAATATATGGCAGCATACGTGAGCCATATCTGTGTGTAAAGTGGGGACAAAATGGCTGGAGGGAATGAAATTCTGGTGCTAAGTAGCAGGACCTCCCTTTGCTTGGACAGGGCCCCTGCAAATGTCCAAAAGGAAGAAAGCAGCTCCGGACACCCACCGCCACAGCCTGCAGGGGCCACCACGCCCTGACACGGCTGGGATGCTCTGCAGTGCCCCCAGGAGGACCTGCATGGGGCAGCCCAGACTCAGAACCAGGAGCCCATCTCCTCAGAAGAGTCCAGAGAAACCATTCCCTTCTCACCACTCCCTGTATTCACCCCCCTCCCCCAGTCCCCATCACCCCGGGCTCCATCCCAGCCATGTTATGTGGTAGAGACTAAAAAGAGGGAGAGAAGGCCAGGGGAACGTTCAGAGCCAGCCAACCCTGCCTTTCTGCTTTCAACTCTGACTTTGCATTATTAGCTTATTGGCTTCCACTGTGGAAGTTCTCAAACCTAACCTCAGGGATCCCTTTTTCAGGCCCAGGAAAAGAAAAGCGGACATTATTTGTTTTTTGACCTCTTGTACAAGGAACATCAGGAACACTTGTCAGCTGACCCCGTGTCTCCCAAAACAAGGTGGTCGGGAAGCATCGCGTTACAAAGGCCTGGGCCTCCGTGGGTCCCTGCATCGCGCGATCAGGACCGTTGGACGTTACTATAGTCCCTCAAGAGAGCTTGCCTCTAACTGGACAGTTGAAAAGGTTCACCCTTGACTATCTGAGTGACATAAGTAATGTGCTATTAGCATAAGTACCTTCCAAGGCACCCATTTAATCAATTTCTTAAATCACAGAATGATCTACTACAAAATAGTGGACTGTATACACTATATTTTGGCACAAAGATGGTCATTCTCCCACTAGTAACCAGGGGCTCTAAATAAATGATTTCAACAATGTTTTATTAAAGGACGACAAGAGCCCTCGAGCTGCATTAATGGGGAGAAGTCGAGTGGCACTTTTGTTATGGAAATGTTAAGCACATAATAGCACTACTGAACAATGTGCAGCCACTTCATTCTTTCAGCCACGCTGACACCTCTTAAAGAGGAACTGCGGGGAAGGATGTGGGAAAGATTTGCTTTCCAAGGAAGCTTTCAGCTCATATTTTGGAGAGCTACCTCCAAACCGTGTGTGACACGCAGGCAACAGGAGCAGGCAAGGCTTCTGAGATGCACAAACTATTTTCCCCAATTTTGGGAGCTTGGGTTTCATGATAAAACCCAACATTTTTTGACAGGGGCATTTGTCAAAGCTATATGGTACTGATTTTGTAGTGCAGCGGGTCCAATTTTATCATGTGGACCAAGGTCCCAGTTGCTCTCAACAGTGTTGACATAGACTGCAAGTAGCTTTGACAAGTTCTCCTTAAGCAAACAGACTGCATCTTAAAATCCGCAAACAGGTGAGTACACTCAGCGTCATAAAGGGCATCTTCAATCTGTAACCACGAATAAAACAGTATTGTGTTTCCACACTTTATGGACACCCTCATGTTCTCTCGTTATCCATATCTAGTCTTACAATTTAATTCCTGCATTTGAATTTTATAAGTTCTATAGGGTATCTGTGGGTTCACTGATGCCAGGATGGAGTCATAGCTCACAACTAAATCCTATTGTATACCTTATCACTGATCAGGCGTGACTGGGCACCAGCATAGGAAATATTTCAGTGAGGCTTTGAGACCTTTCTCATAGTTATGTCTTTTATGAAAATGCCAGTCCTGCCTTCAGTTTTAACCCCTGTCACCTGTTACCAGTCACTTCTGCTTTTGTGATGAAACTCATGTCTGTCACCCTGAACAGTTGATAGGATTGGGGGGGAGGGGGTGATAAAAAAAAGAGTACATTTTGGTTCCATGGGCATCTGTTGAGGGTCTACTGTGTGTGGCAACCAATGTGAATGACTACCCTGGACACACTGGTAGCCAAGACGGAAGATACACAGCTACTTTTAACGTCAAATGGCAAGCACGGAGGAGTATAACTGGATGATTTAGCTCAATGCTGGTTTGAGAAAAGCTTAAGAATGCAACAGCCCTGTGTGTGTGTGTGTGTGTGTGTGTGTGTGTGTGTGTGTGTGCCGCGCGCGCGCGAGCACGCAGGGGAGTGGGTGGCCATTTCTTACCACCAAAGCATAAAATAGGAAGTAGCAAGGCTAGGGTTTGAAAGCAGGGTTAATATTGGGTCATAGAAACCTTGGATGTCATGCTAGGCATTGACTTTCCCTGCGTACATAAGGGGAAGCTCTGGGAATTCCCAGCTGAAAGCTTCAGAGGTTCACCTTCCTGAACTGAGTATATGATGATTGGAAGGAGCGAAGACCAGAGACCTGGCACACAGTTAGGAGGCTACGACCAGGCCCCGTGGACAGAGGCCAGGGACTGAATAGAAGAGTGGCAGTGTGGGGAGAGAAGAAGGCAAACTCAGGACCCTGTGACTGTTCTAATGTGAAGTGTCCAGGG